TGTGTGTGTGAACAACGTACGAAACATAATATCTGTTCTCATCAGCTTACACACAATTACAAGGCATCAAATGTCAATCGTGTGCTTTTTCCCCTTCATCAAGCTGTGCTCTGGGAGCTATGTTCGCTGGATTTTGTAGTGTCTTACGCCATGGACAAGTGGCAGACCTCCACTGTTTCCCAGAACTTGTCCTTTTATGGCCAGAATGAGGAGAATGCGACCACAAGGACCCAGCTAGCCAGTTGATATGCATACCTCTAGCGCAGCATTGTCAGCAGTATGCAGCTCTAGAACAACCTGCAGGGAAGCATAATGACTCATGACTGTGCGATGATGCATTGATGCATTGATGTCAATGATGTGCAGGATACCAGCACCAGTCTCATCCTCATTTCCCACCTCCCTGCCCTTTTTCTCCCTAGCACAACACCCAGTCAAACTTGTTGTATATGAGCCGCATTCATGGCTTAACTCAACCCTATCTGACACCCGCCGGCAATTCGGCCACAGCCAATGAGGCCCGGCCTGTTTTTTTAATATCCTTTTTATACCCCTGCGAGGCACAAGGCCTCGATAAGCCCTACTGGGCCCTAGTTGCAACAGCGTCCCTAACTGAAGGCAGGCTCGACAGACCCCGAGAGGCCTATTTTGGACTACTACGCAACTGGGGAAATTCAGGTAGTTGCGCAGCGCCAGTTGGTTGGAAGCACCAAGGCCCAGGCTGCCTTTCATTGCATGTAACTGAGGCAAGGCCTGGGCCAGCTACACAAAGTGTACGAACAGAGGCTGAGGGCAGTTGGGTGCTGGTAACCGCCTCAGGCCCTGGGCCTGTTCCCTTCGGACTGAGTCTCAGCCTCCCTGGGCCTACCGTAAGCTTCTGGGCCGGGGCCCAGTACCGCAGCTCAGCACGCAGCATCAGGCCATTTCGATATAGGGAAGGGCCTGCCCACACTTTCAACATTTGGGCGCTGGCTGCTTTGTGCGCAAGCGCTGCTGCGCTATCACCTGCCAGGCTCACGCGCTCACGGGCGAGCTGGAAGGAGCAGGCAGCCATAGCCGAGCTGCGCTGCTGTATGCTGGATGGGGCGCATGGTGGTCCTTGGGTGCAAGTGGCATCTGTGAGTTGGGGAACGAGGTTGTGAGTAGACGGCATTATCCGAGATCTGCTTGTACTTCGGTGAAGCGGTTGACGTCAAACGGCGGCATTGTAGAGTAGGCTAGATAGGATCTGCCATCTGTAGTCTGGGCGCCGAGCGCCAGATAGGATATCAACATTGGTTCTTTGTTGATGATGATGAGACTATTCCATCATTGTCAATTATGAGCTCTTGGTGTGTTCTTATTTGGTGAAACTTGTGTTGCAATTCTACTTTTGTTTCAAGGTCACGACTATCTGGTCTCATGTGTATGGTGCTGTTTGATTGCTGAAGTTCTCTATCGCACATCTTCCTTGCAATTTGGTATCAGAGCTGTGGTTCAGTGCGCTAATC